GCAGGAAACAAGAGAAGCAGAGGGATGGAGAGGGAGTGCAGCGGAGAGAGTGAAGAGAGCAGGTGGCAAAAAAAAGAAAAAAGGCGGCAGCCGAGCAACTTCACGCAGCCACGCAAGAAAGACGCACAGCACCGGCATTCATCCACGACGGAGCAGCGAAGAGCAGCCGCCCCCACACGCACATGCACACGGGAAGTGGGCGCGCAGCCACCACCCAAATGAGGCGGCTCCCGCAAGGAAAACGAGTTAGCCACAGCGCACTCCCCCTCGTGCTGTGCGTTTTCCTTCCCTTCTCTTCACGGCCCGCGAGGAAACCGCAGCAGTAGCCGCACACGGCACTGCCAGCGCAGGCTGCAAAGAGGGCATCCACCTGCACGGCACTACAGGCGCATCGCGTGCGCGTCGGTTGTGTGTGTGTGTGCGAAGACAAGTGTGGAGAGAAAAAAACAGCGATGGCGGCGATGGTTTCGGGCGCAGCAGTGGGGGGGGGGCAGCGCAGGCCGCGTGCGGGGGGCGGTGGAGGCGACAGTCCGGCACCCGCACGAGAAGCCCACAGCGACGGTTGAGCAGCCAAGTGCCCCCGCCGCCACGCGAAGGTGCGGGTGACGGTGCCCGCGGGGAAGCCGCGCGTCCGACCGGCGGTGCGTGCCGCGGCCCGCGTCTTTTCCTGCGGGGCGGCGGCTGCGAGCTCCTCTTCGTGCGTGGCGCCAGCACCGCCGCAGCGTGGCGGGCAACGCAACAAACAAACGTGCGGGGCAAAAAACAAACACGTGCCCCGAGCGGCCCACATGCATCCGCCGCCGAGCACCGCAAAAAATCAGCAGGGCACGGGCACGGGCTGCCGCAGCCGCCACAGTCCCCGCAGTCGGCCCAACCCTCAACCCGCCAGTGCCACGGTCCGGCGTCCGCACGAGTTCGCGCCGCGGAAACACGCGGCAGAGCAGCAGCGTTTGGGGCCCCGCATTTTACCCCCGGCGCCGCTGCAGGCACCCAAACAAACACGCGGGGGAATCGGCAAGCCCCTCCCCGCGCGGCTGGGGCAACGCAAAACATCCCCACGCCGCCGCAGTCGCCAAAAAGAAGACGAACACGCCGGGGCGCACGACATGCCAGCGGCGGACGGCACCCAAAGGCACACACACAGAGAGAAAGGAAAGGAAAGAGAGAGAGGCACATCACCAGCCACGCCCGCACGCAGCGAAGGAGGCAGGAGGGAAGCAGCACGGCGGCCACACCGGGCACGGCGCCGCGGTCCAGCCCGCGGTGAGTCGCACGACCGCCGTGCGGAAACAAAGTGAGCAAAAAAGAAGACTTACGGAAGAGCAAAAACAATTAAAACGGAAACCGACGCAGGCAGACAAATACGGCCGGCCACGCCCTCCAACACCGCGCCGCGTGCATTTTCGCCTCCAGAAAACAAAAACAAAAAAAAAAGGAAAAACAAAAAGATATATGTTCGCTCCACCCCAAAAAGTCCCTCTCATTGCCCACGCAGCGCTCACTTTTCATTGGCGGCACCTCAGCGTGCCGTCGCCCCGCCCACCCGCCGCCCCCTCTGCGCGGCGCACGAAGAACCGTCCGCTCTGCGCGTCTCTGGGCGGGAGCAGCCGACAGCCGCGAGTGCCGCCCGCCCCTCCGTGGGGAGAGTGGGCGAAGCAAAGCAAGAACAAAAAAGTGTTTAGAAAAGAAGAAAAGAAGAGAATTGTCCCCGGCGTTCAACCCAACGGGAGAACTCGCACATGACCGGGAAGCAAAGACGATCCGCGGCGGATCAGCAATTAACTTGGAGGGGGACGCACACGCGTTCCCTCTGCGTGCCGCGGCCCAGCGACGCCACCGCCGCTCAGCACAGCGCGGAGAGGCCCCACAGCGCAAGCAGAAGCAGCGAGAGCATCACAGACACACGCCCACACGCAGTGCCGTCGCCGCCGCCAGCCTCCCTCTGCACTGTGCCCGCAGCCTCCTTTGCGAGTGCGACGGAGGCGTTGTTGAGGCCCGGCGCCGGACCACCGCGCGGCACCGACGCATCCCCCGCCGAACTCCCAGCCGCGTCGGTCGTCGCGGGGCCAGTGCCGGCGGCCCCTGACGGCTCCTCCGACACGCCGCCAGCTGCTGCAGCCACGCCGTGCGCAGAGTTCGTCGGGTCACTGGCGGCGGATGCGGCGGTGCGGGGAGGCACCTCCGATTCCGTCACGCTGACCTCCCCCTCTTCCTTCCTCTCCAGCGCCACAACCTCGCTGGCGTGGAAGCAGCGGCTGTACAGCAAGACGTTCGTCACCGTCACGTGGAACTCTGCTTTTTCTTCGCGGTACCTGTATTCCCCAACGAGGATGTGCGAGACCCTCTCCGGCGGCTTCTCACGCTGAAGTTGCTCACGAGTAGTCGGAGACGAAAGAAGCACATCAATAGATGGAGGTTTATCCTCCAAACTCCCCACAAGCTGCCCGTCGACGTACGCCGAGCCCGTGCCGTTCTGCACCGTGAGCACCACTCGGTACGTCCTCCCCTCCTCCCACGTCAGTGTTTCAGCATCATTTCCCGCTCCTGCCCCGAACTCCGTCCTCCAGTGCTTCTGCTCGTCGTACCACAGCCCCAGATACATTCCAGCCCCCGCGTTTCCCACGCCCAGCAGTGGGGTGGCACCCTGTGGCGCCTTGTTGATGGTCACCGTCGCCACAAGCGTCACCTCCTCGCCCACAGAACCCTGCCCGGGATTCCGCCATCCTCCGCCCACCGGCCACACAATCGATGCACCACGCCCTGCCAGCGCAAAGCCATTGGCAACCTTCGTTGCTTCCCCCGACACCGTGGCACCCACCCCAAGGTACTCGTCATTCCAGTGGGTGTTGTTGCCATTGTTCGACAAGAACCCAACCAGCCCGTCCGTTGGCATAGCACCGACGCAGGCAGCAGCGCGTTCTGCGGCGTCCTCCGCAGCAGCGGGGGTGGTGGCGGGGCCGCAAAGCTTTGCGACTCTGGCGTCCACGTCCTTCCAGGTTTGCAGCACAGTCTTGATGCGCCGCAGCTGCTGCGGGAGGCGCGCAAAGACAAGAATGTCTGAGCGTTCACCCGCACCCACCTTCGCGTAGAGGGCAAACAACTCATCTCTTGTGTACAGCAGCGAGCTGAAGAGAGCGTCGACTGCCTCATCCGTAGATATCGGCCCAACGTCGTGGGTCCGGGCACTGTTTGTTTGTTTGTTTTCAGTGTGCGTTTATTCTGCACGTGCTCTACCATCAGTACCCCCCGCCTCCGTTCTTGCTCTAGGGTAGGCGCGCGCAGGGATGCCAAACATACTTCCCGATCGTTTCTTCCCGGAGGCTCGGATGCTCGGGATAGGCGCCGCCGAAGGACTCGTTTT